GCTCTGGCCTTCAGTTGGGAGGGGTTCAGTCTAAGAATTATTGCCCAGACGTGATGATTGGTGTCCCCTCTCCACTGGTGGCTCTTCCTCTATAAGAAGTGTAGGCATCGTGTCTGCTACTTTTCTCACATCCATTTTAGCCTTTTTATGGGCAACGCAAAAGCCTATAATACCATTGACTCCAGTAGCACTGCTAAATTACAGTTTAGATTCCCACACACACACACACACACCCCTTCAGTTAAACTCAGTGTTTCTCAACCTTGGCAACTTTAAGCTGTATGGACTTCAACTCCCAGAATTCCCCAGCCAGCCATGCTGGGAGTTGAAGTCCATACAGCTTAAAGTTGCCAAGGTTGAGAAACACTGAGTTAAACCATCAGAGTGGTATGGCTGTACTATCCATACAGTATGACATACTCTGTCCAAAATGTTGAGCTGAGTGTTCAACCTTTAGCCCAAATGACACACCTCCCACACCAGAGAGAATGCATCACCGAGTTAGGGAGAATTGCAATCATTAAAAAAACCCTCAGACTTCAAAAAAAGGAATGATGCTATGGCTTCGCAAGGACTGCAAAGTTTGTTGTTTGGGAACAGATTTGCTAACTGACTAATATAGAGATGGTGGGAGAAAACCACGGTGGGGTTGGTGGAGGATAGAATAGAAAGGTGTGTCCTGGAGGACGGCAAGGGCGAGGCTGGGGCGCTCCGCACTGAACCATTTTGTTGCAGGTCCCTTTCATAGGACCATTAAAATGAGCTGACAAAGAGGAAGCATTGAATGAGGAATGGGCTGAGGGTCCGTCCTTAAGCTGGTTCTTTACGAACGAATGACATCCTCAGGCTGCGTTGGAGGCAGCTGGAGCAATCTTGTGGATGATGCCTGCTCCTTCCCTGTTCTGCTACTGCCATCCCTCCCTCCCTCCCTCCCTCCCTCAGCTGGCTTTTCCCAATGAGGCAGCTGTTCTCTGTACAACTCACTCTTCCCTTCTTGGAGGGATAGCAGTGGGTCTCCTGATCACAGGTCCCCCGTCCCCGTTCCTTGGTCCTTTGAAAGGAAGGCCGGACTGGGGCTTTCAGCAAAGGCTTTGCCCCTGAGTGTCTCTTTCCCCTTCTTGCAGGGCCATCAGGCCTTTTCTCCGTCTGCCATGTGTATTTCTCCCATCCTTGTGATGCCCGTTCGTTGACGCCATGCTAACCCAGCTGCTTTCTCCAGGTGATGCACATGTTCAAGGGATGCCGCAAGGAGGACACGTCCCCTCACATTTACGCGATAGCCCAGGCGGCCTACCGGGGCATGTTGATGAGCCGCCAAGACCAGTCCATTGTCCTCCTGGGGAGCAGCGGCAGCGGCAAAACCACCAACTGCCAGCACGTGGTGCAGTACTTGGCCACCATTGCTGGCAGCTCCGGGAAGGTCTTCTCAGGTGGGTGTGGCACCGGGTCAGAGGAGGGTTGGAGAAACCACACCGTGGGATCTCTCTGGTTGAGGCCTGGAAGCCCAGCTGGGAAGGAGAGAACCTCAGTTGCAGACGGGCGGTGCTCTCGGGGCCTGTCCAGTTTCTCTTGAAGGTTTCAGACAAAAAGGGTCTTTCCCAGCTACATGGAGGGAAGCTAAGAGAGGGCCTAGCGAAGTGGGGCTCAGTCCCTTTCCTGCCTTGGTAACCCTTGGGAGAAGCCATCCACAGTCAGGGGGAGGCCTGCGGGGGTCCGGGGCAAGGGCGCCTGCCTCCCCCTGACAGCGTTACCTGTTGTAGGAGAAGGAACAGAAGCCACAGGGTTGGGCAAGAGATAATCCAGAACTTCTGGCCAGCCCTGGAGGTTGAACAGAGACCATAATGGGGCATCTCAGCTCCGTGTCTGTGGCAGGATGAGAGTATTGTCCACAGAAACTCAGGTAGTTTGTTAGGACGCTGTAGAGAGTAGCCGGGGGGGGGGGCAGGGGCTGTACACTCATGAAGATGATTTTGCCCCTTGGAAGTCAAGCAAGGGGGAGGCAGGCGCCCTTGCCCCGGACCCCCGCAGGCCTCCCCCTGACTGTGGATGGCTTCTCCCAAGGGTTACCAAGGGAGAGAGGAGACCGTTAACCCTGAACTGCTGTATCCAGGACAGAAGGCTTTTCTTCTCTCCCCTGTAGGCCACCTGCCATCCCCCAGCACTGCTACAAGCGCCTCCCACTTGCTTTCCCTTAGGGACACGCTCCCCCCGCCCGTGCGCTTCCATTGCTGGTGACCACCTTTGGCTGTAGGTCTTTCTGAGCCTGTCTCCGCGGTCTGCAGCCGCTGGAATCCTTTTGGGGACTTGTCCAGCCCAGCCCAGCCCACACCCAGGCATTCAGAGCGATCATCACTATCTGGCTATTTTTGCACAGATAATACAAAACAAGAATTTTGCACGAAGCAGCGCAGCCGTCCAGTTAGAGACCTGTCTGTGAGAGTCTGTGCGGATGTGTGTGGATTGGCTGGCAGGTGTGAAGAATCGCTCTGGATCCTAGTGATGGCCAGTGGGGGTGCAAGCACGCTCTGCACTGGAGGCACACTTGTGCATGGGCGCACACAGAGATCACTCTAGGTCCGTACCTGCATGTTTCTCCTTGTTTCTGCCTTGGCAGTGGAGAAATGGCAGGCCCTGTACACCATCCTGGAAGCCTTTGGCAACAGTGGCACAAGCTTGAACAGCAACGCCACGCGTTTCTCACAGATAATCTCCCTGGACTTCGACCAGGCTGGGCAGGTGGCATCAGCTTCTGTGCAGGTGAGCAAGGGGGGTGCGTGCTTCTCTTTCCTGTAATCCTGGGAATCCGTCTACCTGTTTATAGTGCCTGATAGCCACACTTGTTCTACTCTTTGTGGCTCAGGGCTGCCGTGGATGGTGAAGTTTTGTGGGCAAAGCTTTGTGTATCTGATGCAATGAGTTGGCTAGTCTTGAAGGGGAAACCAGACTCTGTGTCTGCCGATGTTCTAGAAAACTATAAAAGGAAGAATTCAAATTCCGGATGTTGGCAGCGTGATCCAAAGGGGCCTTGGCGTGGGTATAAAATAGGAGTTTGTGGCCACAGATTGCCCGTGCTGATCCAGTTGGAATAGCAGTTGCAACATTCTCTGAGAGCGTACAGGTGCTTTTTGGGGTGGGGAAGGAAGGGGGCAGCAAGCAGCGTGCTCTTGCAGTTGTGAATGCAGGAAGCTGTCTCCTACCAGCCCAGCCCACATGGTCTAGATTGACTGGTACCTGTCTGCCTTGTCTGGAGACGTTGCCAAGGACAGAATCGGGACCTTCTGCATCCTGGGGTGGGAAGACTAGTCGGCCGAGTCACCAGAGCAGCTACCATCCAAAGCTGAGCAGAAATTATAGCGGGCTGCCGTTGGAGGCTCTTGGGGCCATGAGGGGTGCCCATGCCAAGTGCTCTTTTTTAATTGCTTTTGTCAGACAATGTTGCTAGAGAAACTCAGGGTTGCCAAGCGTCCTGCCAACGAGGGCACCTTCAACGTGTTCTACTATCTCCTGGCCTGCCCCGACAACGCCCTGCGGTAAGGGGACTCTGCGGTCAGCTCAAGGTCTTGGCTTAGCGTTTTGGGGTCCTTGAAAAGGGGGTGCTGTGAAAGGAAGGGAGGGGCCTTCAGGGTGACTCTGTTTGGATGTGGGCTGCTTCCGCCTGCCAGAACGTGTCCGTAGTTCTCAGTGCTGGACATCAGTTGCCACTGGGCCCCCAGGGGAAGGCTCCCAGCCCCAGTGAGTTCCCTCAGTTGCTGTGTGAGGGAACCCTGGGTCTTGGTGGGTGAAAGGAGATCGGGTGGCTTGTCCCAGTTTGGCAGGGATGGGGGTGGCGGCAAAGGGAGCCTTTCAGGGTCTAACCTGTTGCCTCCAGTGATTTCGTCCTCTTCCTCCGCTTTGCAGGACCGAGCTGCATTTCAACCACTTGGCCGAAAACAACGTCTTTGGGATTGTGCCTCTGTCAAAGGTATCCTCCGTGGCTGCAAGGGTGGCGTTTTCCTCATGCTGCTGTGGAGCGGGACAGGGCCTGGGGCCAGTCTGGACCAAGATCTAGTTACGACCGTGAGGGAGGACCCTTCTGGTGGCTGGATGTCCCCTCCCTGCACAGTGGCGGGCGCTTCCAGAAACCTTCCAACCGGCCACTCTGGTGGAACAAAGCCGACAAAAATTAGCTGCCGAGCAAGGCGGGGAGGTTCTCTTCCCATTTCCAAGGGGTTTATGTGGCGTTCTAATTAAAAGCTTACCTGCCTTGCTGTTCCCGTAGGGAGAGGATCTGAGCAGGATCCCCCAGCCTGACGCTGGGCTAGCGAAGAGAGGAGCAGCCCTCTTGGCAATAAAAAGGCGCCTGGTTTTTACGACAGGCCAGTCTGGTTTATTCCTGGTTTTCTGTTTGGCTACAGCCGGAGGAGAAGCAGAAAGCAGGGCAACAGTTCGGCAAGCTGCAGGCGGCCATGAAGGTGATGGGCATTTCCAGCGATGAGCAAAAGGCCTTCTGGCTCGTCTTGGGAGCGATTTGCCACCTGGGCGCGGCTGGAGCGACCAAAGGTAGGGCGTGCATTTAGCACTTTGCTAAGAGGGGCTTCCTTGCAAGAAAAGGGATCGAGGTGGGGCTGGTTGGCCGTTCTGGAATATCGCTTCTTCCCCAAAGGGACAGGGTCGGCCGCTGCCACCCGGGGCTGTGTTGTTACCCGCTTTGGCAACAGAGAAATGGGTCCTCCCCCAGAGGTGGGAACTGCCTAGGGATGCAGGGTGGGGCACACATCGAAGTAATAAACGCATCCAAGGGACTCTCGCAATCCCCAGGCCTTGGGCCGAAGGGCCAGAGGTCCCCCAGCCCTGTGGTAGAATCACCAAGTTGGCGCACACGGGCTCTGCCTTGTGACGTATGAGTGTGAGTGTGTGGGTGTCCGTATCTGTAAGCAAGATAGAGCCTGTATCCTTCCGAGAGGCATGTGGCCAATAAAACGCAGCACTCCAAAGGAGCAGGTCAGCAAACAGCGAATGAGGTGGCTTCTGTCCTAAGCCGCATCTTTTAGAAAGGAGCCAGATGGGAATTCCTAAACAGTCACCCAAGAAACCGCTTCCGGTGCTGCGTGTCTCCCTTCCAGGTCGGCTGCCGTTTGCTGACTGAGCTTACTGGAGACCCTTAGTCATGATGGCCCTTAGTCACTCTTTGGTGAGCAGGTGGCCCCGTCAGAGACCTGAATGCTGGCCCAGCTGTGAGCCTTGCCCAGAGCCAGCATGGCCCAGACTGCCTCTTGGTGGGCCTGGCGTGGTTGGTGGGCAAGGCTTGGCAGGATGGTGGTAGTGGCAGGGGCAGGGGGGCAAGGTAGATCCTTTCTCTGCTGCTACGCCTTTCCCCACGCAGGAGGGGCGCACAGCGAGTCTCCTTTCTTAGGGCTGTTTCTTTCCGTTCAAGAAAGGAACACCTTCCTCCTCCAGCTTGAAAGGAGGGAGGGTCCCTCATGGCTAGAGACACGCGCAAGGAAAGATGCTTGCTCCAGTCTGCGGAGGGGACACCGTCGGGGTGGGGATTGAAGGACATGGAGGAACTCGCTAGACCGCCTGGGAATTCCCCGCACCTGTTTTTGCTGCATTCTTGTGCTCCAGCTGGGCTGCTTACCTCATTTATTTGAAGCATTTTACTCTGTTTTCTTACTTAAAACGGCTCCCAAAGTAGGTCACATGAAATCAGAAATAATTCCTGAGCCGGTTTGGACCTTCAAGGATTTTAAAGGGACGCAGGAAACAGAAGAAGAAAGCAAGTTCAAGGGACAGTTCTTAAAACTAGTGAAGTTTTGGAAGGCCCCGTTTGAGTGGAAGGGAAAAAGAAGCCCCCTTAACTTTTCTTTTTTTATTTAAGCCTGGCATGGAGACTTCCTCCTGCCCACAGCTTCTGTGTTTCCTTTAAAATTGCTGCCCTGGGCACAACAAGGAACACGGAAGAGGCATCAGTCTGTGCTGCCCACAGCAGACTTTGGCTAGAAAAGTGTGGCAGTGGGGGGGCGCGGTTTCCCACCCCAGTGTTTAAGTACGGTTAATTTTGCTCCAAGCGCTTCCATAAGTAACCCACTGTTCTAAAAATAAAAGTGGAACTACTGTCTTCAGCCAGAAGCTGCCATCTTGCTCAGATGCCACCAGTAGAGGGCAAACCCGCCTAAGATTTTGCGCCGCAAGGCTGTGGAACGGGGCGGTGAGGCACATTTTCTGTGTGGGGGGTGTGGGTTGGGCAGCTGTTTGTTCCTGGCACAACACCTGCATGCTTTGAGGCTGTACAGTGTGAGTGAACGAGGGAGGGCTCTCCTACTTTGGGGCAAGTAGGATCTCTGAGGATTGGCCCCCTCGGGGAGGCCCACCTATGTCCCATGGCTCTGGGGCATTACTCAGTGGGTTCCAATGCCAGGATAACGGAGCTCAGATTTTGAACGCCCGTGCAGCCCCCTGCCCGCTGTGAACGTGTGCTTGTGTGAGGGTGTGCCACCCTGTTTCCCCCAGGAGCTTTGATGCCACCACTGCCTTCTAACTCACTCTTTTTGTGTTTGCATGGTGCATGCCGCTCCTTGTGCAATTCAGACAGCAGCGAAGGTAATGTGTTCTTCCTCACCCAGAACGACACCTCCTCTTCCTCCCCGCCTCCTCCTC